GGGCTATGGATCTCTGAAGCATCATGGAACCTCAGTCCCAGTCCTGGGTGGCTTACTTCCGTATTTCTTGTTCCCTGAGAAAAATTAAAGCCCTATTTAAGCTTTATTGTACTTTGGGTTTCCTGTTACTCGCAGCCAAATGCAATTTTAACTGACACAAAAGCTGGACAATAAAAACATCGAAGAAATGAGAGGGCTGTATGTAGAACATCTGCAAGAACACTGTGGAATCCATTCACAAATGTATAATTAACAAAAACTTGGAAGAGCTGAAAGATATGACACATAGTTTCTTCTGTCAACAAAAACAACAACAAAAAAGAAAAGCAATGAAAAACTCCAGAAAAACAAAAAACTATATAACAAAGTCATCTTTTAGCTGAAGCAGACAAAAATATGCCATGATTTTTGGTGGAGAATTTTGACCTTGATATTTGGGACATCCTTTTTTTCAAGTGGTCAAGTTTAGTGACCAAAAATCTCATTTCCTTTCCTATGGACTCAATCATTCCACAAGGTTCTATACTGAATGTTCATAATATTGTTTAAAATAATCATAGTATTGTAAACACTGTTACTTTTTAAAATTTAGACAAGGCACTGAATTTGTATTTATAGACTGTAAATGCCCTAAACGTTGACAATGTATGTTTGGAGTAGGGGAGAGGAAGGAGAGAAGGGGCTTGGTTTAGACATGCTGATCTCCCCCACTGATACAGTGTGGAGTCACTAAAACTTCCTGATGTTGATGGATCAAGAATGGAGGTCTAGGTATATTATATAATGTTATGCAAGTTAATACTAGAACTAAAAATAATATAAATAACAAAAATTGAGAAGCATTGGGGAAAGGAATGTGAGAGGCAGACCAATGTGCTAAATTCCTCATCTTTCTCAGAGCAGAAAGTAACATTTCCTGCAGGAAGCTGATAAAACAAGGTAAGTATACGAGAGTTACGGTGTTATCATCAGAGTTAAAAAGAGAATCTGGTAAGAGTGGCTTCCTCTGGGTTGTGGCCTTGAGGATTGCTGGAGAAGAGGAATAAGACAGGAGTGTTTTGTTTTTTTTTTTACTTTGATGTCTTCCATACTGTTGAGTTATTTTAACCCCCATGCATGCATTTCTTTCATAATTACAACAAGCATGTTTGGTTTATTTTTAAAGCTCTTGACAACCAACTAGCTTGTGGAGCCATTGAACTAGACAGTCTTGGGAAATGTCTTTGAGCGTAAACACTCCTGTGAGCTTTTACTCTGGTAGAGCTGCCGCAGGGGTGGGCAAGATGTTTACTGTCCTCCCATGGGTTTCAATGTAAAAACAAGGTTTTAGAAAATTTTTGCCCAAATTTTATCTTCTGAAACAACTAAACACAGTTAAAAGAACAATGTTTTGAAATTATTTAATGAATCATTTAAAACTGCAACTTTTTAGGGGGAGGGTCTAGTTCAGTGCTAGAGCACATACTTAGCATGCACGAGGTCCTGGGTTCAATCCCCAGTACCTCAATTACATAAACAGACAAACAAACCTAATTACCTCCCCCTCAACAAACATTTTTTTAAAAGCAACTTTTTATTCCCTATAAAATTGGATTTTAAATATTAGATTATTCTGATTTGTATAATGAACTTTTATTTTTCTCTGAAAATCAAATCAAGAGCAGAGAACAAGTTTGGCAGCAATCAAAAGACACAAACACAGGGAGCGCTTTGCATCAGTTCTTCAATTTAATCTTTAAAGAAACAGCAGAAAATGAACTGTTACATAAATAACTAAAGGAGGAAGAAAACACTACTAAGTAACAGAGGGAATTCACAGAACCTTCTGATAACAAGTAATTGTCAGGCCGGGGGGATACAACACAAAGATAATTCTCACCTAATTCTAATTCTGGGCTGTCATTTATAACGATTTCCAAGGTGATATCAGGCACTTACAAATTTGAGTCCTGGTAACACCTGGAACCTCAAAATTCCAGAAATGTCTGTTGGTCCGTTTTTAGAGACTACTATCAGAGTGTTGATGTTTCCCAATGGAAGTTTGTTTTTTTTTTAAATTCGGGAAGAATAGGGAATCCTATATGGGCATGGGGCAAATATTCAAATTATCTTTTTTTTTAACATTTTTTATTGATTTATAATCACTTTACAATGTTGTGTCAAATTCCAGTGTTCAGCACAATTTTTCAGTCATTCATGGACATATACACACTCATTGTCACATTTTTTTCTCTGTGAGTTATCATAACATTTTGTGTATATTTCCCTGTGCTATACAGTGTAATCTTGTTTATCTATTCTACAGTTTTGAAATCCCAGTCTATCCCTTCCCACCCTCCACCCCAAATTATCTTTAATGCTGAACCATACAGAAAAAAAATAAATTTGTGACTGAAAGAGCTGAAGAGGCACAGACTTGGTTTGCCCAAGGCAGCTCTGGATCTCCTGGATTCTCCCTGCCTGCAGCAGCTGCCCAGGTGCTCAGCACTTCTCAGGCCACAGTCACTGTCAAGCTCACGGTGTTCTGGGCCTCTTGCCCACGTCTATTATTATTATTATTATTATTATTATTATTATTATTATCATCATTATCATCATCATCATCATTATTATCATTATTATTAATTTAGTTTTTACTAGAAAAGGGAGAGGAGTGCCCTCATCTTCCACCTGTAAACCTCCCAGCTTCCTTTTTCCCCTCAGTTACAGAAAAGACCAATCCCTCCATGTGTCCTCTGGGTCCCACCCCATGTCCGCTCACTTAGATATCTCCTCTCCTCTGTAGGGCACCACACCAGACTTGCATGGTTCTTACATGAAGTTATGTTGGAGCAGCCTTGCTCCTGCTTTCATTTAAAAAACCTAACTCATTCCTACATCCTTCCACCCTCAGTCACCACCATCTCTATCCCTCTACCCTCTGAGACAAGAGTCTCCTGAACAGTCACTATGGATTTTTCGCTGGCTATCACCCCTTTCTCACTTCGCATCCTCACTTCTGCCTCCCACCCCTGCAGCGATGGTCTTCCCACGGAAACACCTGTGTCTTCCTGGGAAAAAACGGAGGACACTCTTCAGTGACCTCCTTGGCTGACATCTCAGCAGCCTCTGTCAAAGCGACTGCACCCCCTTCCTGAAACAGTCTCTACTCCGCTCCAGAGACAACCCCCTTCCTGGTTTTCTGTCTACTTCTGTGGCAGGCTCTGCTCCGTCTCCACTACCTGTTACTGGCCTCTAAAGGTTAGTCGTGTGTGTGTGTGTGTGTGTGTGTGTGTGTGTGTGTGTGGTGTGTTTCTTTATGACTCTGTCTTAGGTGATCTCATCCAATCCCATGGCTTCAAATAACATCTATATCGCAATCTCCCAACTTCTATCTCCAGTTTCGTCACTCTTCTGATGAGCTTCAGACCTATATATACATCTATCTAGCTGTCATTTCTCCTGGGTGTCACATGTCCCAAACCCAGCTCTTGATTTCCAGCCTCCCAACCCCGTTCACTGCCAAACTTTTCAAGCCTCTATAAGAGAATGGTGCCAAAATCATCTGGTTGTTGAGAATGGACCCCTAGGGGTTATCCGTGATCCTCCCTTTCCTCCTCCCGTCTCTCTCTTCTTTCCCTTGAATAAGGAAAGTCCTCCACCTACCTGCCCCCCTCAGATATCAAAGCTGGCAAATAAGACTTTCTGGCCTGCAATGTAAACTAGTTTTTTCCCCATTACATGCTCACAGCATCCATGTGCTGAAAACAGCACTGTTCTCTCAGAGGCAGACTGAAGAAGCCCTCCCGAGAGAAAGGATGAGCTTTCCCTAGACCTGGGGACAGCCCTGCCAACCCGAGCAAGAGGCCCTGCGCAAACCTCCCGGGACAGAGTGGGAGCCAGGCCTGCACACGCCGGGGAGGACGCGGCGGGAATCCGCCGCACTGATGCCCACACTCGGCACTTCATGGCCTGCCGCATCACGCAGCCCTCCGCCGGGTGCGCGGCCCTGGGACCCTGCCCTGCCAGAAAAGGGAGGAGCCTCCGGTGCAGAGCGGGGCGTGGCCTCGGCCGGTGGGCCCCACCGCGGCGGGCGGGCCAGGCGTGGCCCGTTTAAGCGCGGAGAGCAGCGGGTCACGTGCGGAAGGGCTGGGGGCGTG